TTACGAACCTGTACATCTTTTCTCAATCTTTGGCGGCTTTGTTTCCAATTATTAAACAGTTAATGAGCTCCGAGGCATCAGGAGGCTGTTTATAACAATAACAACAGTTGATTGGCAAGTTTTCATGCTTGTAAACTTTTAATAAATGTAACCAAAGCCGTCAAAGATTGAGGAAAGATGTACACGTTCGTAAGTACTTGCGTAAGTGCTTTCGTGAATCTGGCCCCTGGTGCAGAGTACACAGGCACAATGTCTGTGGCTGCCTCAAAATCCAGAGGGGTAAGGGTGACAACTGATAGATTGATGATTGATGAAGATTAAGCCACCCAAGAGGTGGCACGGGCATGAATAGCCCGTAAGTGGTAGCCCTTTCGAGCCATTACCAGTATCAAAAGATGATACTGGAGATCTGTGGAGGCCCAACTGCACCCTGCGTGACGGGAGATGTCTCCCGGACCAAATGGTGGACAACTGATATATGATTTGATGTTTATATCACACCCTTGAAGACTTCGTTTGGGTTATCAATCTTCAGTGTTCAGGGGCTCACCGCCAACGAAATCGTACTGTATATTTCTCAGTATTTTGCTCATTTGTTTGTCGTGAAGTATGAAAGTTCCAGCACCCTTGCGCAGGGGCCCAATGCTGGATGAAGGTTATATTAAAGAGTTTGCATAGGAGAAAAAGTATTTTGGATTCCTCTGTATTTCACTGATGGCCTTTTCCTTTCGTGGATATTATATGATTCTTGTAGCTTTAGTTCAATAATGTATACTACTCTTCATAGCCTTCCTTGTCAGTCTTGAGGAAGGTTGGGGCCTTTCAAGTTGTTTCGCGATTTGCTTTCTTCGCCTGTCAAGGAAACGCTATTTTCGTTCATATCTGCATCTATTCATATATTTTTTTTTTTTTGAGGCATGTGATTTGAGCATATTTCTAGATCTACTGAGCATATTTTCTCGATGCACTGATTTAGGTTCGAATTTTGTAGGTGTTGTTCCAAGCTAACTTCTGTGAGCTCTTGGTTTCTAAGTTCCCAGTTAATCTGTTTATAATTAATATTTAATTTGATGAATTCGGGAGCGGAATTTGCCTTCTGGACCAAGTTATCACATGTCGAGCCTGGCCTCAGGCTGGGCCCGGGGAGCAGACCTCCCAGAACCCTCTCCAGGTATGGGACTCACTGCGCGGGTCTATTCCCCATGCTTGTCTCAACTTCAATTAAGCTGTGATCTAGGTTACAGGTATTTGTAATCATTATGTTCCTGATCAATTCATCGGTATTTGTGAAAATAAGGTTTCGTTTGATTTCCATTCTAGTTGATTCTAGTGTTTGCCGGTTTAAGGCAAATCTGTCACACAACCGTAGTAAGTCATATGTGTGACTGTTCATTTAGGCTACTTCCTGGGATTCTCTCTGATAGAACTATTTGCTATATTCTTCCATTTTAGCTAGACATTTTAGCTAGATTCGAGCCTGGCCTCGGGCCGGGCTTGGGGAGTAGAAGAACTCCCAGAACCCCATCAACCAGGTATCAATATTAGGGGCCAGGTTTGTGAGGTTTTCTAAGCAGCATTTCTTCTCATTAGTTGGTGTTTAAACTGCCAAGTATTTGTCTCTGGTGTCTTATATACAAGGACAATAACAACATTTAGGAACACTATTTAGATTATCAGTACTTGCACCACATCCTTTGTTATGCTCAGCAGCTGAGTGCAGATTAGTGTACTTGATGTTGAGGCTGATCCCACCCTGTAGCCTGTGTCTCCTGTCACATCACAAATTATTGTATTCTGGTATTCATATTTCACTATCATCACAATCCTTTGCGGGGGGGGGGAGCTCAGTTAAAGCAGTAAACACTGTATTTACCTCATTTAAGCGGCCAGCTATAAAGTGGACTTCAGTTTGGTTTGCGTGATTTTATACGGTACATGTTGGCAAATACACCTGATATTAAAGTGGTTGTGGAATTGCTGTGCTTTACCGGGATGTCATACAAGGTGTGGCGGTCCTTGTTTGAACCTTTCAAACATGGGATGCCATAACGCTGTTGATAATTTTGAAGACACTAGTACTCTCCAGTCTGGAATATTGTTGCACACTAACAGCTCTATTCAAAGCTGGAGAAATGCCAACTTGTAGTGCGCAAAGATCCGTTACTGCTAGAATCCATTCAATAAAACATTTATATTACTGGGATCCCATTAAAACTTTTAACTACGTATTTTAGATTGCAGGTGAGAGAGAAACATAATAATTTACACTTGGAAAATATTTGAAGGAAGGGAACTATCAGGAGAAACACTAAGCCATTACGACTATTATAGCACTTGGAAGGGGTCAGGATAAGGATTTGGGATGGGATGGGGGGGGGGGGGGAGGAGGAATGGTGCCCAACCACTTGGACGGTCGGGGATTAAACGCAGACCTGCATGAAGCGAGACCGTCGCTCTACCATCCAGCCCAAGTGATTGGGCAATATTTGAAGGAGTGGTTTCATCAAATCTGCACACAGAAATGACACACGAAGCCAGGAGGCATGGCAGGATGTGCAAAACAGCCCCATTGGAGAGCAGGTGCAACATGTAGGCTGACATACAACTACTGTATATAAACACCATAGGCCCAAAACTGCTCAACACGCTCCTGCTACACTTAAGGGGTAATAATTGGCCGGTCTCTCGGGGGTGTTCAAAACAAAGCTATAAACACCTCTAAAGGGGGTGTTAATAGTGTAGCACAGCTTACGTTTACAGTGTTCTAGTTTAGTGTTTATCACAGCCTGATCAACCAGTCTGTGAGCAGCCACGTCCAACAGCTTGCTGGACCAGAACCACCACCAGGAGGCCTTGACAAGAGACCGGGCAACGGGGATGTTGAACATCGGAATCACTGCAAAGTAATGGTAAGGGAAGGGAGACCGGGCCTCGTGTGGGAGGGAGTGGGAGGACCGGGCCTTGTGTGGGAGGGGGTGGGAGGACCGGGCCTTGTGTGGGAGGGGGTGGGAGGACCGGGCCTTGTGTGGGAGGGGGTGGGAGGGGGTGAGGTGCGACGGTGGCTTTGTCATGTATTCAGGTCATATTTTACTGATACACTTTGCAAATCAGTTTGAAAATATAAACTCCAAGTGCAAACTTTAGCCAAGCCATCCTGGTGATAAGATGGGTTGGGTAACGTAAAGCTACACTTTATGTAACTCTGTGGACGATCACACATACCGACGCGATGGACAAATAGGAAAGTACAATTTGGTACTATTCATTTGATAGAGCCTGGAAAAAATAAAGCTAACAAAAAATAAATATTCCTAGGCCTAAGAATATATGTACTATATATCTGGCCTCGGCGTGTAACCTAGGGTGTCTAGGTTACGCTTTATTAGTAAAACAAAGTTTTCCGGTTTGTTCAAATTCAATAATACAAAAGTCTTCTTTTCTATTGATCCATCAGGTCCTATTGATCACATGTGACACTATAAGTACTTGTATTTTAGGAGCATGGGCTGACTTGTCATGTTATGATTACTTTATTTTGTTATTTTCTAAACTTTAAAAGTACCTGGCGTCTACTTGATCACCTGGGCTGTTGCTGCCCGCTCAAGGCAACCCTTGGAGGACAAAACACACACACTTTGCTGACCGTCATATCTTGGAGATATTTTCTTAACAAGCAATGTTGAAGGGCAGACAATAAGAAACAATAACTGCGACCAGTTACAATTGAGTGATATACCACAAGACACCAATGGTAACTGCCAACCAGGAAGGCGGCCCCGGGAGCCAGCCAGTGGCTGGCTGGCTGGCTGGCTGGCTGGCTGGCTGGCTGGCCAGGGTCACCATGGCGACCAGCAGACGCCTCGCACCTCGTCAGCTGGAGCCTCCTGACCTTGGGGGTCCAGGCACCCCATCCTCCCTCCCTCCCTCTCAACCACACGGGGAGGGGGGAGGACATTGGAGAGGATGATGATGATGATGAAGATTAAGCCACCCAAAAGGTGGCACGGGCATGAATAACCCATAAGTGGTGGCCCTTTTGAGCCATTTCCAGTATCAATAGATGATACTGGAGATCTGTGGAGGTGCGACTGCACCCTGCGTGACGGGAGATGTCTCCCATTGGAGAGGAGATGGGAAGGAGGATATAAGAAGAGACATGAGGGGGAGGAAGAGGGAAGACGGGGGGGGGGGGGAAGAAGATAGGACGGGACATGCGACGGGTAATGGGAAGGGGGAGATGTGAGTGGAGGAGATGGAGAGGTGTGTATAAGAATCATAAAATCCAGGAGAAGCAAAGAGATCAAAAGGAGGCATGGCAACAGAGGTGCAAGAGAGAGAACTCTATCACAAAGAAAGACCCAAGACTTCAACACTCCCGCTACACATAAGGGACATAACTGGCCGGCCTCTCGCAGTGTTCAAAAAGAGAACTTGATAAACACCTCCAAAGGATACCTGATCAACCACGCTGCAATTCATATCAGGCTGCGAGCAGCCACGTCTAACAGCCTTGTTAATTGTTAAAAGACCACCAACCAAAGACAGGGCCGTGGGGACGCTGATCCCCGGATCCAAGGCAAGGTCACCGCAAGAGACGCATGTACGGCCACCGTACATGCGTCTCCGTCCGTCTATTTCGTCAAAAAATTTCCATAAAAATCAGTCTTATATACCCAGGCATTAAGACAAACTTACAATTCATCAAAATAATTAAAACAGTTTTCACCACAGCTCTCACACTAAAGCTTGCTGCAGTAGCTCACATTAAGACCTGGGGAAAAAGCCTTAATTCAAAAGTTATAAAAGGCTGCTTATATCCGGCTACAGGCGCTAAGTGAGCAGCAGCAGCAGCAACAATGAGGAGTGTGTGTGCAAGATACTCTTTATGAGGAGTGTGTGTGCAAGATACTCTTTATGAGGAGTGTGTGTGCAAGATACTCTTTATGAGGAGTGTGTGTGCAAGATACTCTTTATGAGGAGTGTGTGTGCAAGATACTCACCTTTCGAAGCACCTGTCGACATTATCTGACATGAGCAGCAGCATACACAGCTGCTCGAGGGCGATGAGCTGCATGTCCCGCTCCTCGCCCTGGCCCATCTGCAGCCACTCCAACAGCGTCTCGGGGTCCACGTCCGCCATCATCTGGAAAGAACCAACAAACAACAATGAAGTCTCCCGCAAGATCACATTCACTCCAAACATGTACACTTACGGGCTACTCATGCCCGTGCCATCTCTGGGGTGGCTTAATCTTCAGCAATCAATCGATGAAGTCTCCACCACAACAAACACAACACATTAACAAAAGCAAACACAAATATACATAAACAACATTTTTTTCTATTAAAAGCCATTCATTAAGTCTCACAAAATCATTGGCAAGCAATGACAATTAACACATTACAGTAAATAGTAGCAAAATCAAAGACTAAATACGTCTGCGGTAAGTTTAGATTTAGGAAAGACTTAGGTAAATACTGGTTCGGTAACAGGGTTGTTGATTTGTGGAACCAATTACCGCGTAACGTGGAGGTGGGGTCCCTCGATTGTTTCAAGCGTGGGTTGGACATGTTTATGAGTGGGATTGGGTGGTTATAGATAGGAGCTGCCTCGTATGGGCCAATAGGCCTTCTGCAGTTACCTTGTTCTTATGTACGTTCAACCCACAACTCTAATGCGCTCTCTGGCAGGTTCTGAGAGAAAATAAGTTTGCCTCTAAATGATTTGTATTTATATATCACGCCATTGTGATTTCATTGAGGCCTGCTGATATTATGCACGGGGGTAAATACCAGTAAATACTGGTTCAGTAACAGGGTTGTTGATTTGTGGAACCAATTGCCGCGTAACATTGTGGAGGTGGGGTCCCTCGATTGTTTCAAGCGTGGGTTGGACATGTATATGAGTGGGATTGGGTGGTTATAAATAGGAGCTGCCTCGTATGGGCCAATAGGCCTTCTGCAGTTGCCTTTATTCTTATGTTCTTATGGTACTTGTAAATATGGGCTACCGGAAACAACTATTGGAATGTGTAGATATAATGCACACAAAACATGCAGGAATAGTCTTAATACAGGTAAATGTCATTCTAGGAATTAGAAAATGGTCCACCCAGATATCTATCAAAGATCACTAAGTAAAATAAAATGCCACGGTAAGAGTGCCCAGAATTTTACGCCAGGGAACTTGGGAAATTACAACTTCACGAAAGCCAGAAGAACCATTAGGGAATCGGCCACAAACTAACAAACGAGCCATATTACTTATATATAAAGCCATTCATTAAGTCTTTTAGACAACCCACCAGGGGACTCGAACCCTGGCTAACAAAGTGGCAGGTACACACTGTATCCACCACTACACTATGCTTCAAAGTGTGTGTGTGTGTGTGTGTGTGTGTGTGTGTGTGTGTGTGTGTGTGTGTGTGTGTGTGTGTGTGTGTGTGTGTGTGTCGTCCCATCCAAGACGACACATACGATAATATCATTCACATTTGCCAACACTCAGGGTATCAAAACAAGCAAAACAAAGTCCACTATGATTGGCCGCCTAAATGAGGCAAATGCAGTGTTTGCAGGCTTAATTGGAACCCACGCAAAGGATTACTATGATAGTGAAATATGGATACCAGAGTACAATATTTTCAGATGTGACAGGAAGCACAGGCCACGGTAGGTCAGCCTGTACATCAACGACACTCGTCTGCTCTGAGCTGACACACACCAAATGATGTGGCGCAAGTGCCGATAATCAAAATAGAAATCCCGTAAGTTGTTATTGCCTTTGTATGTCTCCAGATATAAATCTTCAGCAGATTTAAAGGCCACTAATAAATATTATACTGTTTGTAAAACCTCAAAAACCCAGCCCTGAACATCAACTTGCTTGGGGATATCAACTTACGACACCTATAAATGAAAGTATGAGGCAAATATAGATTTATCAGAGAAAATTAGGAAACAGTCTTCTTGACCTTGAGGTTATCTTGACATGATTTCGGGGCTTTAGTGTCCCCGCGGCCCGGTCCTCGACCAGGCCTCCACCCCCAGGAAGCAGCCCGTGACAGCTGACTAACACCCAGGTACCTATTTTACTGCTAGGTAACAGGGGCATAGGGTGAAAGAAACTGCCCATTGTTTCTCGCCGGCGCCTGGGATCGAACCCGGGACCACAGGATCACAAGTCCAGCGTGCTGTCCGCTCGGCCGACCGTCTAAACAAAGTTATAGAATAGGAGCTGCCTCGTATGGGCCAATAGGCCTTCTGCAGTTACCTTTGTTCTTATGTTCCTAAAGTCTCACACAAATAACCTCTTACAAATGTGTGACTGATTTGCCTTAAACCAGGAAATGGTGAAGCCATTTCTATACAGTAAATAAGAACGCCCTAGACCTCATATTTTATAATGATGAACTGGTTAAGGGCAATGATTACAAATACATGTCACAGAACTAGCATCACAATCAAGTCCAAGTTCAGACAACCATAAACTGTATATAGACCTGTGCAGCCAATCTCGTATCCAAGAGGACAATTCAGCAAATACAATTTTAACACACAGAATAACTTGGAAGAAATAAATCAGTACTCTCAAAAAATATGTTGGGACGAACAGCTTGATAACACAAATATAAATCCGTGCCTCGAGAAAGTCGGCACAGTAGGCCTAGACACAAGGTCAAGCCGCATACCACTAAGACAAAAAGTAAAAATATGTAATGTGGAACGAGAACGGCATTCTCTTTATCGGCGAAGACAACAAACAGTAGACCAACTTTACCACTCTTCACTAACCCATGAACGACTTGGAAGGCTGCTTAGACAAACACAGACCATCAAGCTAACGCTACAACTCATAAAATCTGGCAAAGACAGAGCAAAACGTCATCTGTGAGAAGAACCCAAACTATTTTTTCAGTTACTCAAAATCTAGAACAAAAACTACATCTAGAATTGGGCGTTTGCACAAGGGAGATATAGCTTTCACAGTTGACAAAAAGGCAAAGAGTGAAACAATCTAAGGATAGAGTACTGATTCTGCCTTCAGTAAACTTCAGTAAAAGAGAGATTGGCAGATGCAGTTTAATGCTGATAAATGTAAAGTTCTGAGGCTAGGTAATGATGAAGAGTTACAAGATACGAGCTGGATGGTGTTGAGATTGCAGTCGGATTGCGAAAGGGATCTGGGTGTTATGATTAGTAAGAATTTAAAACCAAAGGATCAATGCATGAAGGTTCGTAAGAAGACAAATAGGACACTGGGATTTATTAATCGAAGCGTTAGTAACAAGACACCTGGTGTGGTTCTTCAGCTATATCTTGCTCTGGTTAGGCCCCATTTAGATTATGCAGTTCAGTTTTGGTCGCCGTACTATAGATTGGATATAAATTCACTTGAACGTGTCCAGTGTAGGATGACTAGGTTAATTCCCCAAACTAGAAATCTTTCATATGAAGAAAGATTAACAAAGCTTAAATTGCATTCACTGGAAAGGCGAAGAGTTAGGGGTGAGATGATAGAGGTTTACAGGGGATGAATGGACATTAAGGGGATATTAGTAAGGTATTAATTATATTATTGATTGCGATGTTGTATACCTTGACTTTAGCAAAGCTTTTGATACAGTGCCACATGAAAGACTGATTAAAAAAATAGAGTCTCATGGTATTGGGGGTGCTATATTAAGCTGGATTAGGGCATGGCTATACCAAAGGAAACAGAGAGTTAGTATAAATGGAATCAAGTCAGAGTGGGAAAATGTTGTAAGTGGAGTGCCTCAAGGCTCTGTCCTGGGACCTCTGTTGTTTATAATATATATAAATGATTTAGATTCAGGTTTGAGTAGCAACATTTGCAAATTTGCCGATGATACGAAAATCGGTAGGGAAATTAATTCGGAGGAGGACTCACTATCACTTCAAGTTGATCTAGATAGGGTTTTGAAATGGTCAAAGGATTGGCAGATGCAGTTTAATGCTGATAAATGTAAAGTTCTGAGGTTAGGTAATGATGATAGAGTTACAAGATACGAGCTAGATGGTGTTGTGATTGCGAAGTCGGATTGCGAAAGGGATCTGGGAGTTATGATTAGTAAGAATTTAAAACAAAAGGATCAATGCATAAATGTTCGTAATAAGGCAAATCGGACACTTGGATTTATTAATCGCAGCGTTAGTAACAAGACACCTGGTGTGGTTCTCAAGCTATATCTTGCTCTAGTTAGGCCCCATTTAGATTATGCAGTTCAGTTTTGGTCGCCATATTATAGAATGGATATAAATTCACTTGAACGTGTCCAGCGTAGGATGACCAAGTTAATTCCCCAAATTAGAAATCTTTCATATGAAGAAAGATTAACAAAGCTTAAGTTGCATTCACTGGAAAGGCGAAGAGTTAGGGGTGACATGATAGAGGTTTACAAGTGGATGAATGGACATAACCGGGGGGATATTAATAGGGTATTAAAAGTATCAACACAGGACAGAACACGAAACAATGGGTATAAATTGGATAAGTTTAGATTTAGGAAAGACTTGGGTAAATACTGGTTCAGTAACAGGGTTGTTGATTTGTGGAACCAATTGCCGCGTAACATTGTGGAGGTGGGGTCCCTCGATTGTTTCAAGCACGGGTTGGACAAGTATATGAGTGGGATTGGGTGGTTATAGAATAGGAGCTGCCTCGTATGGGCCAATAGGCCTTCTGCAGTTACCTTTGTTCTTATGTTCTTATGTTCTTAAAAGTATCAACACAAGACAGAACACGAAACAATGGGTATAAATTGAACAAGTTTAGATTTAGGAAAGACGGGTAAATACTGGTTCGGTAACAGGGTTGCTGATTTGTGGAACCAATTACCGCGTAACGTGGTGGTGGGGTCCCTCGATTGTTTCAAGCGTGGGTTGGACATGTATATGAGTGGGATTGGGTGGTTATAAATAGAAGCTGCCTCGTATGGGCCAGTTAACAGTTACCTTTGTTCTTATGTTCTTAAACCCCTTAACATTGACAATGTATAATTCATCCAAAAGTTCTCTTCGTGAATGTGACATCAATATCCAATCGTGTATCAGACGTCACCCTACCCTCCAATGGACTTGAAGTTGCTGTCTATATTTTCGTGTTTTTCCATTGCACAGAAT